GAGGTCAGTCTCCCCGAACAGCTCTCCTCCAACACCATGTTTCAAATGAACCCTTTCCCCTCACTGGCCTTCTTTCTTTTTCTCCAACGAACATGCATTACTTTCGTAACTAGAAAAAGCAATTCCTATACATGCTCTCCCTTCCTGTGAGTGTGTGCGGGTGGGTATGTGTGCATTTGTTCGTGTGTGAGTGTGCACACACCTCTGCTTGCACGTCAGGCAGAGGGACATTCTATGCTTAGAAAAATGACTCTCATTAAATTTAGAGAGTAGTGCCCGGCCAGTGTGACCCATGCCAGTGTCACCGGTTCAATTCCTGGGCGGGGCACACACCCAGGTTGTGGGCATGATCCCCAGTGGGGGGCGTGCAGGAGGCGGTCAACCAATGTTCTCTCTCATCAATGTTTCTCTCTCTCTCTCTCAAATCAATAAAGAAAAAATATTTAAAAATAAATAAGTTTAGAGAGTAGTTTTATTTTAGTGTCATCAAGTGGGGCATTTCTGTCCCTTATCACATAGGGCTGTTTGACTTCTCCCTGCACATGTGTTGGACCCAAGATCACCCTCCCACACAGTTGAGTTTTTCTGGACGATGAAAGTGGACCATGTCCACAGAGGTCCCTCCGTGAGTGGCCACTGCACAGCGATGTCACTTTCAGCTCTGCTGGAGGACGTGGGCCCTGAGCGCGGATCCCAGGGAGTTTGCCACATTGTCATGTTGCCCTCTTGCTCTCTCTCAGGGCTGACTGTCACTTTCTAATGAACTAGCGACACACCATGCCTCCTCTTCATCATGACAGCTGCCGTGCACAGGGCGCAGGACACGTGTGAAGTTGTCCTGGAGATCATTGTTCTCCAGTTTGGGCTGCTCCCAGGCACTAGCATCTACACTGTGGTCTCGACAGTTCCCCCAAGGACTCACTGGGTTCCCTTTCCCCGGACCCAAGTTCTGAGAGACTGCGCCCCTGATGGAAACAAGAATAACAGCAACCAACACCACGCACTGAGCCCCTCCGGGTGAGCCTCCCCCATGTTCTCACTCGGTCCCACAAGCCGGTGGCAGAGACGTATGTCAGCCTCACCCCATTTTATGTAACAAGGAAGCAAAAGGCACAGGAGGCTAAACACTACCCCAGGGTCCTGCAGCTGATGAGAACCAACGGCAGGATTCAAATTCAGGTCCCTCCCACTCGACCTGGAGCTTTGCCATGCTCTTTTATCAGAAACACGAATTAAGTTCAAACAATAATACCAACATTGCAGTATTCAGTCACAGTTCCTTTCCCTGTCGAAGGTTGAAGGCTCACAAGGCGTCAGCTCTCAGCTGCTCCGATCCTGACATGTTGGTTCATCTGTGCAGTCCTACCGCGGACATACTGAAATCCGGAAAACAGACCAAAGGCCCACGCACCAGCTTCCCCCACCCCGCCCCCAAACTGTTCTTCCTTCCTTCCTTGTTTTTAAATTCAGGTGAAATTCTCACAACTTATGGTTAACCATTTCAAAGTGAACAATTCAGTAGCATTTACTACATCCACAATGTTATGCTACCACCACCTGGATCTAGTCCAGAATGTTTTCATCACACCAAAGGAAAACCCATATCCATTAAGTTACCCCCCACCCCAAGAGGCCAGTCCCCAGAAGCCGTCACTCACTAGTGTTTGAAGCCTCAGGTTCTCGTGCCCAGGATGGGATCGCTGCTCCACCTCTGTCCACCTCCCACCGTGGGATCCCCCAACCTGAAGGGCGCCCTGAGCCACCTGCTCCTCCAGGTGGCCCTTCTGCAGGTCCAGGACAGCAGCCCCCAGGTGCTCAGGCTTGGAGTCTCCCCTTCAATCTGCTGGAGTGCTGGGGTGCGGGGACCCTGACAAGCAGGTAAGAGGAATGTTACTGAGCTGACTTTTATCCTCAAGGGATAAGCAATCTGCTCAATTGCAAAATACTAACCAGCGGGACAGAAATGGAGTCCCCGTGTCTCCTGACGTTTTATCCTCTGTTTCCTTCTACAGCAAACGCTCTGCAGGGAGATGCATCTTTTTGAGGGGTTTTTGCAGGGATGATGGAAAGAGCCAGCTCCTTGGCTTGGAATCTGTGTGGACAGAATTGCTCTAGGAGAACAGGATTTTAAGACTGAAACTGAAAGGGGTGTGCTGTTTTTACAGCTTACAAAGTACTAAAACTTCATGATCTCATGTCATCTTCTCAACAGAAGGCAACGATATCATTTCCACAGATGAGGAAATTAAAGGAGGCAGAAGTGCAATGCCTTGCACAGCTGGAACTGTCGCCTGGCCTTCCTGATTCTAAAATCAGTGCTCTTTACAGGATGGTAGGTGTCACGGACTGAATGTCCAGTCCTGTCCCCTGCACACACCCCCAAACGTTCACAGGTTGAAACCTAGTTCCCCGTGATTGGGGGTGGGGCCTTGGGGAAGTCCTAGGGCAGAGCCCTAATGAATGAGATGAGTGCGCAGGTGTAGGAAAGACCTCAGCGAGCTCCCCCCCTCTTCTGTCTTGCCAGGACACCAAATCTGCCAACGCCTCATCTTGGACTCCCAGGCCTCCCCAACCACGAGAAATAAATGTTTGTTGTTTAAGGTCTGCAGACTGTGGTACTGGGTTATAGCAGCCCCAAAGCACTGAGACCTGCCTTTGCGGGGAAACTGAGCAGGTCTCTGCAATGGGGACTTGCCAGAGATTTTCCCAGATGTTCTCACCAGGTCTCCCTTTGCTTAAATGTGTCCGCCTATCAGAACCTGATGGAATGAGCCAAGATCAGAGGCCTGAATGGTCCTTTCAGCCTGACTGTATCCAGTGAGTAAAGACACATGCATACGAGCTGGCCCTCATCTCAGACATCTCTGAATTCAGCAGAGTGCAGGGTAAATGTATTCCAGCCCCTGCCCCGCCTTCGCCTATTCTCCCCTGCTTCCTGAACCCCCCCAGTTACACTCTGTTACATTCAGGCCACTCTGTCTGCAGTTCCCAAGCATGCCAGAAAGCACCTCACACCTATGCCTTTAACATTATTGTGACAATAACAACAATGGTGACAGTTCTCTCCTGGGTCCTGCTCACCTGCTAGTTCATTTAACTCCCCACAACCTAATGAAGTCGTTACTGTCCATCTCTCTTCACAGATGAGCAAACTGAGGCTCAGAGCAGCTAGGTGCTGGGCTTTGGAGCCAGACAATCTGGGGTTCATGCCCAGCTCCGCCGCCTAATTAGAATGACCTTGGGCAAATTCCATCTCTCTGTCAGCTCCAGTGACTTGCGTGACACGGAGCACGATGAACCTGCTCCTCGGGGCTGCTGTGAGAATTCAGTTCGATGGGCACAACATTTGGCACCTGGTAGGTACTTCAAACATGTTTGGAATTACTAATGCTCACTTGAAGCAGCCAAGTAATCAGCTCAACTCAGCTCAGCTCTGATTCCAAAGTATTTTCCTGCTTCTCCTCATGCTCATGGTTCAAGACCCAGCTGTTTGGCACATCCTCGCCCCATCAGGTCAAGGTAGGCATCAGTTCCACCCTTAGGGGTGAGAGTGCTGATGCTCAAGAAGCTTCCAGGTGCTTCTTTTCTTCCACTTTGCTGAAAGGCCTCTCAAAACTTTGAGGAAGGGTTTTCTGATCTCCATCTCCTGCTCTCTCTCTAGTTCCCTGCCTTCCAAGTTCAATATGCATCCTTCACGGCTCTGTCCCCTCTGCTGTCATCTGTATTGCTTTCCTCCAGAGTCACAGGGCACCCTCTGTGCCCCACGGGACCAGGAGCCCCTTGGAAGTCATCTCAGCCACCCCCGCTCCTAGCCCTGGACCTGGGCGGGAGAGAGGACGCTGGGCACCTCTGATAAAGAACCCAATGGGTTATAACCTAAGTCAGCACTCAGTGTTATCTGGGCACATCCCAACCACGCAACCGGACCCTCAGCACATCCAGGATAGCTGGGGGTGGGAGGTGAGGAGACCGAAACTTCCGGTCACTCTTTGTATGCCCTGCTATGGGTCGGCGGAAAGACCCTTTGGAGAACACTGTCTCATTCCGGAGAAAAGGGCGGAATTTCCAGACAGTGATAGGACGGGCTTGCGTGCCTGGGAGCAAGGCAGAGGGAAGTCTGTTTCCTAGGCAGGCCCCGTGCGTGGAGAGAAGTGCGTTCTTTGCCATTACGGACAAGGGGAAAGATGGGGTCCCTCATTACACGGGAAGCCGTAATTATAGCCAGGAGCTTGTTGTGCGGGAATTTCTGTACTAAAAGTCCTTGGGGAGCCCCCTAGCATACACAGACACCCCGTCCCCCTGGTCCGGCTCTATTTCCCTCCTGGCACTGAGCGCCACTACCAGGCCCCTCAGGATCCTCGCTGCCTGCCCCGCCCATGGGGACTGGGTGCAGCGGGGCTCGGTGGCCCCGGTAAATGTCTGCTGAGGCTGAAGGAACGTTTTGGATGCACAGGCTCTCACTGGCCCCGCTGCGAGGGGGGCCGGCCACGGACCACCACCATCCCGACATACAGGTGAGGGCGCCAGGCCCAGGCCCAGGAACCTGCTGGCCGGAAGGTCGGGGACGCGGGTTCGAGCTGGCGCCCACGCAGCCTCTGGCTCGCCGGCGGTGACTCGCCCAAGGTCACCCCAGCCCGCGAGCACAGCGCCGGGCTCCGGGGCGCACGGGCCGCTCGGAACCGGGCCGCCCCTCCCCCGCGGCCCGCCGCCGGGTCTGGGGTGGGGGCGGCGCGGGGCGGGCCCGGGGCGCCGCGCGCTGACGCGGGCCCGAGGCGGCGGGGACCGGGCGCGGGGGAGGCGCGTCGGCGGGCGCCCTGCTTTTGTGCGGCGCCGGCTCGGCTTCGCGAAGGTAGACAGCGCTTCCTCTTCCTCCGCCGCGTCTCTTCCTTTTATAGCGATTTCTCGCCTGGCGCTCGCCCGGGCCGCTGCTGTCTGCCGCCGCGGCGGGGCCGCTCGCAAACCTGTGGCGGTGACGTGAGACCGGCCAACCCGGAAACGGCGGCGGCGGCGGCGGCACCGAGGCTCCGAGGCTCCTGCGCTCCCCTCGCCGCTCGCCCGGCAGCCAGGTACGTGCCCGGGGCTCCGCCGGCGCCGCCGCCCGGGCCGCCCGCGCGCGCCCTGGAGCCGATTGGCACCGGCGAGGGCGCGGGGCGCGGGGCGCGGGGCGCGGGGCGCGCGCGTGATGGGTGCGGGGAGAGGTCGGGGTGCGAGCCGGGCGCCCGCTCTGGTGCCGCGGCATTGGCGAGGGGGCGCCGCGGGCGAGAGGGCCCGGAGGGGCTCCCGGAGGATGCTCCTGTGCGGGGCTGGGGCGGAGGAGGTGAGGGGCGCACGCCGGGGGCCGCCGGCGGATCCACCCAGCTGCGGGGCGCGCGCCGCCGGTCCCGCGCCAGGTGGGAGGAGGACTCGGGGTGGCCGTCCCTCCCTCTAGCCCCGACCCCTCCTGCACGCCAGGTGAGGGCGCAGGCCTGACCCCGGGCTCAGGTCAGCCCCCCAGCAAACTTCCAATGGGGGCTTGGAAGGCCAGTCACTTAGAATTGAGGAACTAGCGGGGTGAACAGAATCTCCATTGGCCTCAGGACTTCCTCCTAGGGTAAACACCCGCCTGTGTTTAAGGAGCACTTCCTCTTGCCCTTTATCTTTTCATTATCTTTATTTTTAAATGGAAGTTCAGTGTTAACGGTGGCTGCCCTTGTAGCCTGCATGGCTCTCCTGGGGCTGTGAACACACACACACACACACACACACACACACACCAGGTCTCCTGTGTTGGGGGTAGGAGGAAAGAGGAACCAGGGACTTCCCTTGTTAGAGCCGGTGGGGGAGGGATTGAGCGGGAAGGAGGTGGCTGGGGAGTGTCAGGTGGACTTTGCCCCTAAGGTTTAGTTCCTGGCCCTGCCACTGACTAGCTGTGTGACCTTGGGCAAGTGGCGTTCCTTCTCTGAGCCTTAGGCTCCAGTCTGTAAAATGGGCTGCTTTGAGTTGGTCCTAGAGAAAGTGAGCATGGACTTCCTGGCCTGGAGGGGCGTAGGAATGCACAGTGTCATTGTCCACCTTTAATTTCTGCCTCCCCTGTATCTATAAGGGGTGCCTGGGGCACATGGGAGGTTCTCCATAGATATTTGTGAAATGAATAAGTGGATGTGAATTTCCAGGTGAGTGGGTGTGGTTCCACATTTTTTGGCTTCCTTGCCCTGTCATCTCCATCCCGCAGTCCCCAGAGAGCCACATTTTGCCACCTGGAATCTGTATAATCACCTCTCCCTGCCCAAAGAGGATTATCTTGGGAAAATGTTGACTCCTCGTGAAAAGGGGTTTAAACTCTGATTCTGAGCTTCTCCCGTTCTTGGAAGATCACATTCGGTGGACGTGACAGGGAAGCACGGCTTTGACTGCCACAGCCAGACGACTGGAGGCAGGCAGGCAGGACTGCAGCCGGGGCCCGGCCTGGGGCTTCCTGTGCATGTGGAGGAAGCTGGGGCATGGAGGAGTGGTCAGCTGGCCTGGGGTTTCTTCCTGGGGAGGCACATTGCCATTTGCATGTTCTAGAGCCTTGCTAGACTTGGGCATGGGGAGGGGCAGACTGTCTGAGCTGCAGGAGTGCCCTAATGCACAGGGCCACTCGGCAGTGGCCTTCAGATCGCCTCGGTGTGCCTTTCTGCACTTCACTGTGGAAGAGTGTCAGGTGATGGTGCTTTCTCTGACAGCCGTCCTTTCTCAGCTCCCCGGGGATTTCGTGTGCCCCTTCAGGATCCCCAGCGGTGGTTTTTCACCCCTGGAGGGCAGGAGGTGAGCCCAGTGCCACTCTCATTGTAAGAGGCCCCAGCGGGCACCTCTCTGCCGGGCCAGCTGCAGTTTGAGTGTGTGCAGATTCATTTTTAAGATATGGAGTGGCCACAGTTACCCAAGAGTAGTGAGCTTATTCTCATTGGGCGAGACTTAGAGAGAACGCGGGGTTTCTTGGCCCAAGACCTTCAGCCAGGAAGTGGCAGGTTCAGGATCCTCATACGAGTCTCCTTCCTATTGACTGTGCTGCCATCTGAAAGGCCTTTGTGTTTCCCTGGCACCTGGCAGGCTGTCTGGCATGTGTTGGCCACGCAGGACATGTTTTTTGACAGAATGAACAAAAGAGTCATGGTTTCCCCCTTGTTCTCTATGGAGGTACATTCTGTCTCCACCCCAAGGTCAGTGCATTGGCTGCAGGTGACCTTGACATTGTTCTCTGGCGGTTCCTCCCAAGTGCGGCTAGATTCCCCATTGTCCAGTTCTAGTCTCTGTGGCTCGTACCTCAGGATCCAGGACCCATGACGGGGGGCCCCCTGAGGGATGCTGGAGCCAGGAGGCGGCGGCCTCACTTTCAGCGTTACCACTGTCTCGTTGACTGAAGAGACCACCAGCCCGTGGCTTTGCAGGCTGGGACCTGGTCCTCTTCAGCGAGACCGTCCTCCAGCGAGCGCCCTGAAAGCAACGTGGTGAAAAGTCAGATTTAACATCCGTACACTTTAGATTCTAAGGCTGGCCAGAAACCTCAGGCAGGTCACCACCCTCTCATAACCCTTTTCCCCTCACCTGTAAACAGGAAAAATAGTCCCCATCCCGCCCGCCTCGCCAGGTTCCTAGGAAGAGGACCGGGTCCACCGTCACACCCCGTCCCTCTATTGCCTTGTGCAGGTCACCGCTCCGAGCCTCTGTGTTCTCACTTGCAAAATGGGTGATGCTTCCTGGGGTCACTTTGCTCTCTGGGACAGAGTGAGTGGGCCCTTGGCACCTGCCTGGCACATGCTGTCGTCCCCCTGACTGTCATCACCTGCAGCAGTAGTCATCGCTGTTCCCTCAGCTGGAGGACAGGCACCCCGGGGCCAGCACCCTCTCTGGAAACAGAATGGACGCTTCTCCGGAGAAGCACGTTGAGTGGGGGAAAGGAGGGGCAGGCTTCATGCTTTTTCTCCTTGCTGGTTGGGGGCCTGAGGAAGAAGGAATCATTGCGATTCTGTTTTCCACCCCTTTCTGAGGCTGAAGGGTCCCTTTTCCTCTTTTATGATGTCCACTCTTTTTTTTCATCCTCATCCGAGGACATGTTTGCATTTATCTTCAGATAGAGCGGGAGGGAGAGAGAGAGGAAGAGAGAGAGAGAAACATCGACATGAGAGAGACACGTTGAGTGGTTGCCACCCACCCGACCCCAACCAGGGCCGGGGACAAACTGCAACCGAGGTCCGTGCCCTTAGCGGAAACCGAACCCGGGACTCCGGTCCGTGGGCCGATGCACCAACCGCTGAGCCAAACCGGCCGTGACATCCACTCTTTTGTGTCACTCCCTCCTGTCTTCTGACATCCACAGTGACTCCCCCAGGTTCTCATATGGACAACATTTTTGTCACTTCAGTAGAACTTTGGCAGTTGGCCCCGGCTGGGTAGCTCCGTTGGTTGGAGCATGGTCCCGATATGCCGAGGTTGTGGGTTCGATCTCCAGTTGGGGCACATACGGGAATCAACCAGTGAGTGCATAAATAAGTGGAACAACAAATCCATGTTTCTCTCTCTCCCGTCCCTTTCTCTAAATCAATAAATAAAAATTAAACAAGAAAAGAACATTGGCAGTTAAGTCTGATGGTCTTAAAAGGAAGGGCTGATTGGCCTCAGCAGGTTGAGAAGAAGATAATTTTGTAGCCAAGGATGCATGAGGTTAAGGGCAATTTTTTTTCCTTACCCGTTTCTACTTCCAGAGGCAGCATGCATATGGAACTGGGGGCCAGACTGCCTGGGTTCACATCCTGGTTCTGCTGCTTACTTGCTCTGTGACCTTGGGGAGGGTTCTCTCGGGGCCCTCGTGGTCTTTCAGGTGAGGACTAATAATCTCCACCTGTGAGGGTGTGGTGCCCATCAACCCAGAGGCTGTGTGGAGATCTGCCTGGCACAGCGCATGGCGCATAGTAGGTGCTCAGCAAATGTCAGTTACTTTCTTCCTACCCTCCGGGCTCTTTCTAGCCCCACCCCAGTCCCATTGTCCTGTCCCTCCACCTGCAGGCCTCCAGTTCCCTCTGGGAGCCGAGCTCTTGGCTGGCAGCTTCTTCCCAGATTCAAGTTCAAGCCTCCATGCTTGCCCAAACCCCTTGTTGACCGGTGGCCGTAGGGCCGGCACGTCCACGGACTGGAAAGACCACTTTCCGGAGCTTGTCAAGGAGAGTAGATTGGAGAGTCGTTGAGTTTACATTCTCTCCCATTGATTTTTTCCCCTCCTTTTCAGAGACTTACTAGCTGCCATCTGCTCCAAGGGAAGGAGACATCGTGTTCATAAATATATAAATAATCGAAGCGAGCCAGGACATTTGTTTAATGAAGTGTTGCTGAGAGTGATTTTTATAAATATTTAAGATCAGCTGAAACCATTAGAGGAATGGCAGGGTTTATTAAAAAGCCGAAACCATGTTTTGGAAAGGTTCCTTTTCTTTCCCCACGGAGGGATGTCAAGAGGAGAGGATGAGGGAGGGGCAGCTCTGAGCACGGACGCAGGGCCCACGCGGGGCAGGTGGGCCACCAGTGTGTTGTCTCTGCCGTCGGAGGTTGGCAGCCATACGGCTGCTCGTGGGTGGGAGGACGAGGCGGCCAAACCTACGGAACCAAGGGTGGGAACTGTGTTGGCTGTAAACCGACACGTTTGAAAGCTTCCTTGAGACTCGGGGCCACTGGGTGACAGATGCCAGGAATCACCTTGGGGGCTGCACATTCCAGATGCTGCTTGTGAGAGTCAGTGGCAGGCTTCTAGAAGGTTCCTAAAATAGATGTCCTTTGGTCAATCGTGTGCTGTGTTTTCCTGAGTCCTGCGATGGCCCACAAGTGGGAGATTGTTTTAATCCTCACCGAAGGGCATGTTTCTATTGACTTTTAGAGAGAGAGGAAGAGAGAGTGAAACATCAATGTGAGACGGAAACATCCATCGGTTACCTCCTGCATGCACCCTGACTAGGTATCGAACCCACAGCTTAGAGATGTGCCCTGACCAGGAATCGAACCCGTGTATGGGCTGACACTCCAACCAACTGAGCCACCTGGTCAGGGCACATGGGAG